CCCACGTCGGGGGCGGGGCGACGCTCGCCACGCATGGCTCACGCCTCCTGAAACTCTCCGATCGCCTTGGTGATGAACTCTCCCGCGCCTGGCGCCTTGCTCACGGAGGCACACGTAGATCTTGGATAGTGGTTGTTATGCAGTATGACATGCCTAAATTTCCTTGCAGATACCTCAGCCTGTAGCTTGTGGATTGTGGTCAGGAGCTTGACAAGGGCCGATTGGCAGCCCATGCTTGAACAGGTACGATGATTTGTTCCGGCATGGCAATGGGTCTTATTCAAAGGGTGAGATGCTTTGTTTTGGTGCAATCCGTCGTTGTGGCGAGACCGGTTCACCACCTCATGATCTCAGACATGACAGAGTGGGTTTTCGAGGATATCAACAAGTGGATGAGGTCGTTCTTTTGGGCAGGGAAAGACAAGATCAACGGCGGGCAATGCCTAGTGGTGTGGGATACTATATGCAGGCCCAAGCATTTTGGCAGATTGGCGTTAAGAATCTGAAAGTGCAAGCGCTCGCACTCTGAGTCAGATGGGAGTGGCTGAAAAGGATGGACCCGCAGCGACCTTGGCAAGGATTACCTATGATGGAGGATACATATGCATGGGAAGTTTTTGACACACTGGTAAACATCAAGGTGGGGAAGGGTCAGAGGGTTTTGTTCTAGAGAGATAAGTGGATCCATGGATTCTGGGCGACAGGCATTGCACCTTTGCTGATTGCAACGGTGCAAACTAGAACCATTAACAGTCGCACAGGACGACATGCGCTTGAGGATGGTAGGTGGATGGAGGACTTTGAGGCTAGCTACTCCTTCACCGTTCAAATTCAATGCATACACTTATGCTAGGCGATCGGCACAGTGGAGAGAGATTCGGCACAGCCGGATAGGTTTGCATGGCTGGCCTCGGTGATCGGCGTGTACACGGCCAAGTAGGCCTACAATAGCCTGTGTTCGAACCTTCAGAGATCACTCATGGTGGCCTGCACTTGGAGAAGCTGGGCACCGCTAAAGTGCAAGTTAGGCTATGGACCTCGGATCATGGGCAAGGCATGGACTGCAGGATCAGCCATCGGCTTGCTTTCACGTGTTTGCAAGCGGAAGACAATGTTGAGCAATGAGTATATTCTTTCCAGGTGCACCTACGTCCAGGAGGTGTGGCATAGGGTGTTCGATCCACTTAGACTCAACGTAAACGAGTCAAATATTACAAGCACGTTCTCCGACTGGTGGCTGAGGGAGAGAAGGAGCTTCAAGGGCGCTGACAGAACGGGGTTCGACACTTTAGTCACCGCGGTGGCCTGGGCTATTTGGAAGCAAAGGAATGCGAGGGTGTTCAATAGAGTTGACCAGCAGAAATCGTCACATACTATCTCCACTGTGGTGTTGGATGAGATTGTCGTGTGGCGGCTTGCAGGAGTCGGTGCTGGTGGATTACAATATTTTGTGAGAGATTAGTCTATATTACCTGTTAGGTTTTGGTGCAAGGAGTTTGTACCCCGCCGCCAAATGTTCGCATCCGGGACAAGATTTTTAGAATTATCTTTCTATCTTTTATAAAAATATGAAATGTCGTTGGTGTACTCCTAGAAAAAAAATCAAGACTTACCGTCAGAAACCGTATTATGTGGCACAAAGTTGTTATTTTTGAAACAAATACTAACTTTGTGAGTACCGTTTTCTCTTATACTCCCTCCTTTGTAAATTCGATCTAATAAGATTTTATATTATGAGGCAGAGGGAGTATATGTGTGTTACATTCGTATCATCTTTTACGACGTCGCGTCCCATTTAAAAGGAACGATACGTCACACACACACAAATTGTTGGGTGCGCCATTTTTAAGTATTTTATTTTGATTTTGATGTGGGGACGCAAGCTAGATTCTCACTCGAAGAAGAGGGGACGCAGGAAGGCTGCTGGTACCACTACCGCTTGGCAGGGTCAACACGGACGGCGAGAGGGGGTGGAACACGACGCAAGGAAGAAGAACCAGTGGGGCGGCTGCAACGCAGACGCAGTCAGTGCGAGCGCCGCGTGCGTGAATTGCAATTCGCTGTCGGTTGGCCGAGTCACAACACAGGGTCAAACCTTCCGAACCCACCCCCGTTTCCCTGTCTACGCATGTGCTGATGGGTGCCAACCACCGCACCCAACAACTACCCAACCAATCCCTCCCTCTCGGAGTCGCCTCCCACCCCCTCCCCCTCCTCGTCTCTCCTCATCTCACCTGTGCTCTCCACACGACCACACCAAAAATCCAGAGCCGCCCGCCCGCCTCGCCTCCTCGTCTGCCTCCTCCTCTCCTGCGCTTCAGTTTCCAGGTTACTCTCTCTCCTCTCTCCCGCCTCCTCTACCACTAGCTGCGTCGAATTCGATTTAGGGCGGGCGGACGGATTGGTTGATTGGTTGCTCTGCATGATTAGCACCCCCCTCGTCGAATTCGATTTGGGAGGATGGGTGGCCGGGCCGGTCGATTCGTTGATCGCCCTGCGAGATTAAACATCTCACAGCGAGTGGGATCGAATTGCGATTCCGAGCAAATCTACCGTGATCCTTGCCCCTATCATTTCCCCTGATTCGGTGCCCGGCTTCCAGCCGGCAATCATGGAATGAAATTAATTTTGCATCATTTCGTTTTTTTTTTCATTCCAACCAAGAAGATGAAAGAGCCGATACTGATTAGTAACAGGGGTGGTTGCGGGTTGGTTGGCGGGTCTCTGTGTAGTGCGTGTTTTATTAGGTGATTAGTTCGATGACTCAATCACCATGGATTAACAAATTGTTTATGACTACTGTCAACCAATCCGACCATATGCACCCAGGGATGAAATTTAATCAGACTGTATTGAGTTAATCTGTCTATCCACAGCCTATCAATTCTGTCGGTGCTAAAGAAGATACTTTTATTGATTTCATAAGTTCTGATCATGGCGCTCCCACCATAGGGTGACTGGCAGCTGCATCTCTTGCAGTTCTGGCATATACCATCTCTTGACTCATATTACTCTCACCTCACAGGCTAGGTTGCTGCTGTTGTTCACATGGATTCCTTTTTCCAAAGAGCTTTCGGCGACCCAATGTGCTCGGAAGACAGTAATGTTGTCCAACAAGGAATTGATAAATGCCCATTCCTGAGGAACATCAACGAGCCTACAAGTTTTTCCTTGACATCCATTAATTTCCCCACTCCGGTATGTCCTTACCATCCACCCCTCTTTATCTGAATATATAAGTGTATGTATGTTATTTATTTGCTTGCTAAACTTTATCATTTTCTGCTCGTGAAGGCAACCGGAGCAAAGGGTCCAATTTTTGAAGACGGGCCCAACTTTGACACGGCATTTCGAGTTTTCCACGGCAGAGACGGGGTTGTTCCACTTTCAGAAGGAGCATTTGCTCATATTGAGAAGCCTCTGCCAAAGCCCGCTCCAGAATTTAACCCCTTGGCAGCCAAAGCAGCTACCATCAGTCTCTCAGGATTCGGAGGCTTTTTCAGCTTCGGTGATTTCTCAAACAAGCGCAATAAGCAGAACTCCAACAAGAAGAATCCCAACAACCTCCCCCAGGTAATTATGGTTCCTCTTTTCCTCGTGCATTTGTTCTATCCTTCAAATTATCATCCTTGTGTTAGAAAGTTTCATTACCAGCCTTTAGACGAGACCAGTTTTTTAGTACCAAAAGAAAGCAAATCTATCTTTGATGCAAGCTTCACATGATATTTTTGAACTACCAGACATGGAGCTTATTAAAACGAGCAACGAATATAAGGTTATTCCTTAGAATTGGAGCATGCCATTCATTTACCTGATTTTGCTTTCCTTGTCATTTCAGAATAAAGGCCAGTCTAATAACAATCATGAAGCGATGAGCAATGACTGGCTGGAAAATGGTCAATGCCCTCTTGCAAAGTCATATAGAGCAATTGGTGGAGTCGTGCCTCTTGTCGCAAAGCTGCTGGCGCCCCCAGCTGGTATGAAACTGACGTGCCCTCCTGCAATTGTTGCTGCCCGTGCAGCAATATCCCGCACGGCGTTTGCAAAGGGGCTTCGCCCTCAGCCCCTACCGACAAAAGTAGTGGTGATCGCACTGCTCGGTATGGCAGCCAATGTTCCTCTTGGCATCTGGAGGGAGCACACCACGAAGTTTTCAGTGCAATGGTTTGCGGCGGTCCATGCTGCAGTGCCTTTCATAGGGATGCTGAGGAAGTCCATCCTGATGCCGAAGAGTGCCATGGCCCTTACCATAGCTGCCTCAATATTGGGTCAGACAATTGGTTCAAGAGCTGAACGTATCAGATTGAAGAGGGCAAAATTAGCAGCAGAGGGCCATGGCCATGAACATGCTACCCGGATTGAAGCTCCGGTGAGCCTGAAAACTGGGAGCTCAGGTGCTGTCCAGCTCTGGGACCCGCTCGGCCTTAGGGTCAAAGGCGGCGTGTCTCCAGCCCTGGTTCCGACTGTTGGTGCCATGTATTGATGAGATGATCATGCTTCGTTGCGGCGGCTGTGATAATTGTATCAAGAGTTTCAGAAATTGTTTCTTGTATTCATTGTTATTGTGTCTTGTAAAGGATTACTGGCTACATTGGATTCTTCTCCCCACATGAGTTTGGGTGCAATCAATAAATTTCACCGTGTCCTTTGGTTTCTTCTTTGCAGCAAGGTTGGCTGATTAGACTATTTCTATGTTCCATATGCTTTCATTTGCTTGGTCAAAAGCCAGAACACAACAGCTCCCAACATACCAAATGCAACAGCCAATTAGTAGTAAAACAAGTGTTACAAACTTTTGACAAAAGCTCCAGCAGTTGCTTGCTGTGCAGAATACATTCGACGAGGCTAGCTGGTTAGACCAGTTTTAAGTTCCATGTGCTTTCATTTGCTTGGTCAAATGCCAAAACACAACAGCTACACCATCACACCAAATGCAACGGCAGATAAAGTCTACTGCTAAGGATTACATCATCTTTGTTTGACGAAAGCTCAAGCTAGCTTTAGTATATCTCATCGTCTGGGACATGCGGCGTAAGGAACTTCTGAGGGTCCTTGTACATTTCCTCGTAGTTGTACTTAGGCTTCACCCTCCCCGGAACCGGCTCAAGTGGCATGATGCTGTCTTCGTCGATCACGCCGTCGATGATCCCATAATCGACAGCCTCAAGAGGACCCATGTATCGGTCCCTATCGATGTCTTTCTCTACCTGCTCCAGTGTGCGCCCCGTGAAGCCTGAAATCAGCCGGATGACATTCCTCTTGCTAGCCAGAATTTCCTTGGCTTGGACCTCTACATCCAAGGCCTGGCCACTCGCGCCTCCCACGGGCTGATGCATCATAATCCTGGTGTTGGGCATGGCGAATCGTTTGCCCTTTGCGCCACCACCAAGGATTATAGAAGCTGTGGATCCAGCTATGCCCATTCCAATAGTGGATACATCTGCCCTCACCAGCTGCATTACATCAAAGATAGCCATTGTCGCACTGAAATGTAAAACAAAAAAAGTCAAGTCACAAAATGCAACTAGTCTGTATCAACAGATATGCAAAGGCCACTATTGCACGCACTTCACCGTAATGGCAAGGCTAGCCTAAAACTCCTCTCGTTCTCCAATAGTGTTGTTTTAGACCTCAAATATTCCAAATAAATCTACACATAATATTTCAAATACCCATTCTACTAGTAGTCAAAGTTTGACTTTGCTTATGTCCAAAACTTGTTCTGGTTCCATGAACTAGTCCTTTGGACAGGACTATTCTTTTCCCACCACTCATACCAAACTAGAAGAGGGCACTCCAAGTCAACTAACAATAGGGTCTTCCAAGTCAATAACAGGGCATTCAAAGCCAACTAATAGTCAACTAGTCAAATGTGATACCTTGAAAGAGAGATGAATGTTACGCACATATAAACAAGAAAAACATCATTCATAAGGTGCAACATATATCATTACAAACTCCAGGCATCAAGCAGAATATTTTATTTTCACAGAAACGAGGGGTCTGTACAAAATGCAAATATATAGAAGAACTGTAATCATATGCCCATATTGGCGTAGTACTAAAGAGTTTCATCTAGCTAATCTTATAACAAGCCAAAAGAAACGAGCTAGTGATAGAAGTTTACATACTGTTTGATCATCACAGAGAACAAGGTGTTCAATGCAGGTATTACCAAAAAGTTACATTCAGCTGATCTCATAACAAGCCAATAAGTAGCAAGCTAATGATACAAGCTTAAATATTGTTTGATCATCACAGACAACAAGGTGCTCGATGTTGATATTGCTAAGAGTTTAATTCGGCTGATATAGCAAGCCAATAAGCAGCGACCTACTGACACAAACTTACATACTGTTTGATCATCATAGAGAACAAGTTGCCCGATGCGGATTTGAGTTAGTCACTCCATTCAATTCTAGATTTTAGTTATGGCCTAGATTTCAGTGGTTAACTTAGGTGTTACCATAGGTAGGTTACACTAGGATTTTTTTGTCAACCTTTTTTCCGTTTCAGCAATTACGAGTATAGAAACGACCCACTGGATTAGACAATAATACAATCAAACTGGAATTATTTTAGGGATAACAAAAGCCTAGTTTAATGAAGTAACAACGAAGATAATATTTGCAATCTAGAATTGTTGACGCGGTGAAGAATAAGATTTCCGCCCCTGCTCGGACCAGAAGATTGTAAAACAAAATTGAATGAATAATAACCTTCTGCGGGGATGGCAAATTATTAAAATACATAAAAGGTCTAGCAAGAGGGTGACTCGAGGATAGTCAGTAAAGTATCATTCGGAGATTAGTGCAGATTTTAGCAAATGGGTTTATAGGTGGTATTACAGTCTGAAGGTGTGTCAGTGTCACATTGATCATGGCCAGCAAACTCTTATCCAGCAAGATATTGTCTGATAAAAAGATGGTCTACTACTGTGAATCGACTTGATGAGTCTACTAGAATGCAGGTCATGATTTTGATTAGTGCAGCCTATATCAAATCAAACAGCCGGGAGTGAATACTATCACGAATCGAATTAGTATATCTGGACAAAGTAATTTGCCCACAAGATGACCACGTGGAATAATGTAAGACCACAAAAGGCATCCCTTGTTGAGATGGTAAGTAAATTCAACCCTACACAAACCGAGGGAAGGGAGTGATGCATTGGGAGGCGACCTGAGTGATCCACCGGGGGAGTTGACGAAGAGCCGGATGTCAGACTCGGAGTCCATGGCGTCGAGGAGGAGGAGCTGGCTGACGACGGCGTCGGCGAGGAAGTCCTCGATCTCGTTGCCGAGGAAGATGATGCGCTCCCGGAGAAGAAGGCCCATGACGTCACCGCTGGCAACTCCTCCCGGCGCATCCAACTCCGCCCGGATGCCTTGGCCTTCCCACAGGGACAGAGGAGACATGGCCGCCGCCGACGACGCCGCGACCGCGTAGCTGCGGCGGTTCAGCTTGAGGAGGGGATGCGGTCGCGTCGCGGGCCCACGTGCGCAAGCGCATAGCTGCCGGTGCCTGAGGCGGTGAGCGGCAGCCGTGACGGAGAGGGAGGCACCGGCACTCGCGCTGGTGGCCGCCATGCTTATCTATCTAGCTTCGTGGGTTACGGAGCAGCCGGCGGCGGCGGAGTGCTCCTTGTCTCCTCCCTCTGAGTGTGAGAGAGTAGATGGAAGGAGTGGATAACTCACCAGGACTACTGCCTTCTTCCCGTTTGGGCCTATTCCTTCGTCAATGGGTTGGGCCGTTGTCTTTCTTTTCTTCCCTCTTGTTTGAAATTACAACAAGCTCAAAAGAGGAATTGAGATTGCAACACATACAGCAGATAATATTCCATGAAAATTAAGAAACACAGCACTTAAGCGTACTCACAGTAGTAAAATCATCTTGGTTTAAGGGAATCAGTAGTAAATCATCATCATAAGCTACTTGATCAAAACATAGTACTGCTGGTCAACAACTATGACACGGATAACATGCCCATGGACAGCTAAAACTCTTACACTTGTTTGCCAGCATTCCAAAATTGCCAAAAGAACAATGGATAACACAGCATACAAGTTGACACCATCAGATGACATTATCGAGGCTATTCGATTCTAGTCGTCTGCTTCATCCTCTTCTTCCATGTCGTTTTCAAGATGCGAAAGTGAAACTTTGGCCTTCTTCACCTCCGGCGGCCTCGTCCCAGCACCAATCTCCTCACTCTTCCTCTTCTCGCCCTGCTCGGCATCAACACCATCTTTTCTAGCTTCACCTGAGACCTTGCCATCATCAGCCTTCTCAGCTACAGAATCATCCTTCTTCTCAGATGGTAGCTCCATTCCCTTCTTCAGTGACTGCTCACACTCTTTCAGGAAAGCACGAACGTCATCATTCTCTGCAACATGTAGAGCCGTTTGCCCTGCATTTGTCTTTGTTGTGATGCCCACGCCCCTCCTCACTAAATACTTCACAAGATCCAGGTGGGAGTTCTGAGCAGCAAAGTGCAACGCCGTGAAGCCTTTCCTGTTCTTTGCTTTCACAGAGGCCCCCGACGCCAGCAGCTCACGCAGCACTTCCAAATGACCTTTCTGGGAAGCAAAATGGATCGCGGCGGTGTCATCCATTGCTGCAGCCCCGACATCCGCTTTGTGCTTGCAAAGGCATTTCACAACATCAACATGCCCAGCCCATGCCGCCAGATGGAGTCTACATGAACAAAACAAACTATGTCAAGGAGATAAAATGAACAGAGAAAAATGATAGGACATAAAACAAGTTTATCACATCACATAATCTGGTACTACGACTACTGATGCAGAAACCATATTGTGTAGCAATGTTTGATAGAGGGAAACAAATCTATCAATATCAACACAAATGAAACACTATAC